TGGGCAACGAGCTTAAAGCCCCTGATGGCTCTGGGCGCTGACTCTCACCAGTGGCTATGGATGTATAGTTATTACAGTTTTAAGTGTTCTATTGTGCTTTACAGATTTATAAAAATTCAAGAACCACTCATTTGAAACCCAACAGAGATTCACTATGAGTCAGAATTGACTTTACAGCAGAGGATTTGGGTTTGGGGTACTGCCTATGTTTATTTCCAATCCTTCAGATTTTGTAGAAAAATCTAAACTTTTAGGAGATACTATTTAATACTATTTAAAGTCACCAATTTCATTTTTTTAAGGTTAACATCAAAGAAAAAATCCAGAATATTAAAAAAACCTCCAAGACTACTCATCTTCAAAAACCCACTATTCTTCAAAATGTTACATTTTGAACAGTACATAAATCTAAACAGATATTCTTTTTTTTTGTAGTTTCTTTCTATTTTTCCCCTTTGCCTTTGAAAACTTCTTAGAACAAGAATATACTTGCTGTGACTGTATGTCCTGACATATGTAAGTGGATCTTATGGCCAGATTATTTTCTAACATTTTCTTGTTAAAATTTAGGACTTAATAAATTTTCACTTTTTTTGGGGGGGGGGATATGTACACAATTTCTGGCTTTATTTTTTTTTTTTGTTTTGGATTTCCATTCATTCATTGTTGCACTTTTCTCCCTGTCCAGCCCTCCCCAGTAAACAGATTTTCTTTAAAAAAATAAAAAACTTTTTCAGGGAGCTCTGGTGGCCTAGTGGCAAGACACTGCACTGCAATCCCAGAGGTATGCGGTTCAAATCCACCAGATGCTCTGCTGGAGAAGGAGGGGGCAATCTCCTCCTGTACCAGTCAGATCTGATTTGACGGTACATGTAAAAATAATACAATAAAAATAAAAAGAAAATTTTTAAAAACCCAAAACTTTAAAAAAAAACCTTTTTCTTTTTTAATTATTATCAATTTTAATGAATATTTACAGAGACTTTGGATTTCCATTCATTCATTGCTGTACTTTCCCCCTGCCCACCCCTCCCCTCCAGTTCGTTGTTCTCTTTGAAAAGTAAAAGAAAAATTCTTTCATTGTTATATAATCCCTCCCCCCTTAAAAAAATCGTATACATTAGGCATTGACAGAAATGGACTCCAGCCCACCTCTACCACCAAGTGAGTAGCTGTGATTGGAAACTCGCAATGTAAACAAATGAAAGCCACTGTAAGTTAAATACTGTGCTGGCTGCTAAGGATACAAACAGAAATAAACATGGTCTATTCCTCAAATTTAGATCACACTAAATTATATTTCTCCAGATTTGCATTTTAGGTCTTGAAAAGGGGAGAAGGGGAGTGGGAGAGATCATAATATTGCTGAGTATCATCTGCCAAGTATTTTACATACATTATCTTATTTAACAAATTATCTTAAGTAAATATTACCTGTTTTACCAAGGAAAAAAACCCAAGACTCACAAAGTTAGCTATGTTTAAGGTCTTGAAGAGCCCAAACTGGAAAAGACTTTGACCTACACAATCAACCTAACTCATTGCTGTCAAGTGAGAAATGACTCATAGTTGACCTTCCAGCAGGCTTTCAGAGGCTGGTATTTCTGAACTTTAAAGTTGGTGGATCTGAAGTTGACTTTGAGTCTTTACCCACTAGGCTAGCAAAGCTTCTTCAGCCACAAAATACTATTTAACAAATGAGCAAGGATAACTAATGTAGACTTAGGTAAGTCTCTATAGTAAAAGGATGTAATATATAGGTCTTAAACATAATGAAAAAAAGCAGCTAAGACAGAGACAAGATTAAGGGCATGGTCAGAGCACAAAGTACATTCAGAGGATAACAGGATTGCTTGAGTAGCATATTGTGTAAATGAGGAGTAAAATTGACAGGGCAGATTAGAGTAAAATCAGAGTTTCAGCATTTCACATCATTTCTTTCTAGATAAGAGTTCTCTGCTGAAATGTTGTCTGTCTTTGCTCTAAGTTTAATATAGATTATGTAACATGTTGTTGTTGTGTACTGTCAGACTCAAACCAACCCATAGCTGACCCTCCAGGTCAGGTTTACAGGGGCAGTTAATCACAAGAGAGGAGACTGCCAAACCATCTCCTGCAGAGCATCTAGTGGATTTGTACTGCACGCTTTTGAGATTGCAGATTGCAGTTCAGTTTCTTACCACTAGGCCACCAGAGTTCCACTAATCAATAGATGTTTAGTGAGCTCCTCTAATCAGTAAGATGTTTAGTGGGTACTGATTATACTGTTATTGTGATGGGCTTTTGAGTCAGTACACTCATAACGACCCTATAAACAACAGATCTGAACCCTGTCCTATTGTTACGTACCATCAAGTCGACTACTGTTGTCGACCTGGACTAATGACGAGAGAGGGACACGGAGAATGAGAGGGAGAAGAGAATGAAGGCGGGGGCAAACAGCTCAAAGATTGTCACACAGAGCTTAGAGTCTCTCTTGCCTTTATTGAAAATTGCCAGGAAACAAATCACAGAGAAAATACTTTACTGATGAAGCTATGTTCTTCTCCGCAAACATACTTTTATTTCAGGAAGAACAAAACCACAAGGACAAACTGGGAAGTGGTAGGTGACACCTGGTTTGCTGGGAGTGCCTATCTCTGTGATCTGTCTCAGGAGAAATACCGCCTTGTTCCTTGTAATTTGTTACAAAGAGGAATTACAGCTTATTTTGTATCTCCTTCAGTTCCTGATCAAGCATTTGGCTTCCCACAGACTCTAACTCACAGCGACCCTATGTATACACAACAGCTCTGAACTCTGCTCTTTCCTGAGCCAATTTCATTGTCTGACACACCTACCCCCGTTAAGCCAATTACTGAATCCATCCATCTCATCGAGGGTCTTCCTCTCTTGCACTGTCCTTCTACTCCCCCAAGCATGATGTCCCTCTCCAAGGACTGGGCTCTCCTTACAACACGCCCAAAGTATGTATCAGACAAAGCTTCATAATCCTTGCCTCTAAGGAGCAGTGTGGTTTCACCCTCTGTAGGATGAACCTGTTTGCTCTCCTAGCGGTCTATTGTATATTCAATACTCTTCTCCAATACCACAGTTCAAAGGCATTGATTCTCCTTCTATCATCCCTAGTCATTTTCCAGCTTTCTGATGCACAGCAAGTAACTGAAAAGACCATGGCCTGGATCAGGTGCACCTTAGCCTGACTGATATCATCGTTCTTCAGTACTCTGGAGAGGTACCTGACAGCAGACTCTCTCAATGCAAACAGTCTTTTGATTTCATGGCTGCTGGTATCAACAGTGTTCACTGTGGAGCCAAGCAAACCAAAGTGGTTAACAATCCCAATCTATTCACTATCATGATGCTGCCAATCAGCACAATGATGAGAATCTTTGTTTTCTTGATATTAACCTTCAGTCGGCCCTCTTCTCTCCACTAATATCTCAAGGTCAATAATTTTTTTTCTTTGATGGGCCCCCATTCAAACTAATTGCCATCAAGTTGAATTCTAACTCTTAGAAACCTTATACAACAGAATAGCCTCTCTCATTATAGGGTTTCCCAAACGGTAAATCCTTTGTTGTTGTTATGTACCATTGAATCGGAACCAAATCATAACAGACCCTTTAGTTGGTTTTCAGCGACAGCAAACAGCATGGAAGGAGACTGCCCATCTTCACCTACAAGCATCTGGTCAAGTCTGTATGGCAGCACAGCTTCTTACCACTAGACAACTACACCTCCCTTTGTAAATCCTTATGGTGTTGTGTAGCACAGGGTTGATATCAACTCAGAACCCTCCAGCAGGTTTTCAGATACAGTAAATCACCAAGGAGGAGATTGACCATCCTTCTCTTATGATCAACTGATGGATTCAAACCAGGTATCTTTGTGTCGGCAGCGCAGTTCCTACTACTAGCCACCAGATCTTCCTCTGGAAATCCTTAAAGAAGCAAAAATGTCTCAATTTTCTTGTAAGGAGGAGCCAGTGAGTTCAAAGTACTAACCTTTCCGTTAGCTAGCAAGCACACAACCACTGTGCTGCTCGAGCTCCTTTTTAAGAGGCCAAACAGTATTTTAGGATTTGCAGATCATAAAGCCTGTCATGCTTACTCATTTCTGCAATCACTGCACTAAAGCAGCTAGAAATAAGACATAACCAAATGTGTGGCTGTATTCTAATAACACTTTAAAAAGGCAGCTGTCTACACTATTTACCTTAGCTATTTAGTTTGTATTTTGCTAACTCATTCAACAGACAGGAAAATAAGAAAAAATTTCCAAACAAGAGGAGAAAAATTCTGTCTGAAAGGAATATAGAATTATGTATTATATGTACGAGAACAATATGGAACAAGGGGTGCACTGGAGGGTGACCTGGAGAGGGGAAGGAGGAAGGAAATGTGCAACAACAAACCAAAAAAATTTTTTAAAAAGAGGAGAAAAGGTTGAAACTATGTTAAAGAATAGTATTCTAATGATAATTCAGTGGGTCAACAACTAGGGTCTTAAAGAATGAAACCAGAAGTGGTGCCCTATGTTCCTTTCTTTCTATAATGATTCTAGAACAGTATCATCAAAAAGAGAAATAAAGCTACAAGGGCATGTAATTTCAAATTTTCTATAAGCCACATTTAGAGAAAATAAATTTAAGGTAGAATTTAACATAAGTAACAATTATCTTATAAATAGGGTCGCTATGAATCGCAAGCGACTCGACAGCACTTAACAACAAACATAATTATCTAAAAGTTATTTTTTACACAATTAATATAAAAGCTTATAAGCAATTAGGTGCTGTACTCTTTAACTTATAAGCAATAAGGTACTGTAATTAGCTTATAAGCAATAAGGTACTGCAATTAGCTTATAAGAAATAAGGTAATGTACTCTTCTTTAAATAAATCTTTGAAACTTGGGTGAGCATTCCAATTTGGATTAGCCATATGTAACTAGTGGCAACCATACTGGATAGCGCACAAAACTGTCCAACTTAAACCACCTACATACACATGTATCTCTACCTGATGGTTTGGTTACCATCTTCCTGCCTGGCCTGCCAACTGATTTGTACCAAATTCCGTACCACATTAATGAAAACTCAATAAATTAACATTTTAATTTTCCCTGTGACCTTTTCTATAGAACCTTTCCAAACCATTTTATTTTCACATACATTTTCACACTTGTTCCTCATACAAACCATGTACAGTACATATTATATGTGTTTGACAAATGAGAAAATTAGAGTCAGAGAAAATAGCCAATTAGTAGGGGAACCGGGGCAAAAATTTAGACCCCTGATTTTTAGTAAAATCTATTTCAAGTTGAATCTACGAGCTCTTTAATCAACATTAGTTCTTCATTCGTTTGTGAGGGTGGTATCTATCTCCCCTCCCAGTGTACTGACGGTAAGCTCAGCGAAGACAAAAATTTGTTTTTCCTGATCATTGAACCTCCAGTGCCCGGCAAGGTGTTTTGTTAGGATCTGGTATTTTTAAATGAAGCTTCTGATTTTCTCTTTTTTGTTTTTAATCCATGCAATGTTACTCTATTCCTTTAATAACTAAAGTTTGAAGACGTAAAGTACACTATTTACTGGCTTTTTTAAAGGTTAAGTGTTAGATTTCCAACATAAACCAAAGGAAAGTGGTAAAAAAGGGCTGAAATCTGAAAAAAAAAAAAAATCCTAGTGCTGGTTTTGCCGTGAAATCGAGGAGCGCACTCGCATAAATTCTTACTTTTCCGGGTCAGAATTTTTATCTAGCAAAAGGGAAGGGAAACGCTGTAATGTCTGGGATTCCGTCCAACACCAGAGGTTTGTTTTTTGGTTTTTTTTTAGATTAAGTTGATAAAGCCTGTTTCTTACACCCTTCCTTTCATCCCCTCTGCAACCACCGGGTCGCAAGAAGGACCCAGTAAGGATCAGCCGAGCGTCCTCGCCGACGCCAGGCAGGCCAGACAGACACGATCCGCAGTCGGTGCCCACTCGTCGCCATCTTTCTCCCTTGACCCGACCCCAACGGCCACCCGCGGGCCGCGGCGGCGCACATCTCACCTTTCTTCGCAGTCTTTGCATTTCACTTGCAACGGTACCAACTGCTGGAACAGAATTTGGGTCATGTTGGACCGCCGTCCGGAATGCTGTAGGAAAGGCCCGGCCGTCAGCGAGCGCACAGCCGCCAATCTTCCCAACCCTGCTAGAGTTTGAGTTTGGCGCTCGGCTTTCACAGAGGAGGCGGGGAACTAGAAACAAGAGGGAAGACGGAGGAGATTTGGACTATGCCGGCCGCCGTCGGCTTCTTCCGGCTGAGGGAAAGCTTGCGACAAGACGGTTGCGGTGATTCCGGAAATTAAACTTATATGGCAGGACGCGAAACGGCCATATTTGTTAAGGGACGGAAACGCGAGGGAAGCGGACTTCTTCGCATCTTCAGGTTCCCAGGACCGGAAGCGGGGTAGTGAATTATGGCGGCTCTTGCAAGGACTTCGAAAGCGACTGGTTTTCCAGCTGAGGGTCGATGTGGTTATTATTTGGAAAAGAAGAGACGATTCTGCCGAATGGAGGCGGCAGCGGGGAGACGGTTCTGTGGTGAACACGCAGGAGCCGCGGAGTCAGACGCAGAGGTTTGGAACCGCCCCACCGCTAGTTTCCTGGGGTTGGGCGCCCCCCCCCCCGCCCCCGACTCGGCCCCACCCCTTTTTGAAAGATTGCTGCCCCTTGGGTTAGAAGACTTTTTCTCGGTAATCGTTCCGCCTTCCTGGAGAGCGATATGATGAGACCTAGTCATAAGCGATATTTTACTGCCAAAGGCGCAGCAGCGCCACATTCATCTTGATCGTAACTCATAGTAATGCTCGGCTTTGCTACTAGTTACCCTTCCAAATGCAACGTGACAGTTTGGAAAGTCAGTGATTGAGGATCCCCAGGTTTCACTAATTATGTTTTAATAATTGTTTCATGAGTGAAAATCACTTCTTGTTACTGTGGTTTAGAGAAACTTAAAAGATTTTTTTTCTTCTTCAATATAGACCTCTAGTCTTAGCAACCCACTTAAAACTAGTTTGCTTCAAAGTAGAGGGTAGCTTAAAAAAAAAGAATCATAAAAGTTGACACTTCTTTTAAAATTAAGAACAGAAAGTGTACACTTTTCAGTGATTATATATATGTATAAAAGTATATAACTATGTATATTCAAAAGTATGTGTGTATAAACGTTTACACTAGCTGGTATCTTGGTTAAAGAATAAAATGGATTCTTTTCCTGTTTTGTTGCAAGACTTTAGACCTCACTTACGCGGGCATATGAAACGTGATTGCCAAAGGTGACAGTAGTAGAATGTGATTGAATTATTCAAAGCTGATTAGTGTTCTTGGAGACCATTGGCATTTTGCTTTTAGTTTGTTAAGTAAAGCTTCAAAGCACTGAGTGAAATCACTTTCCATGTCAGTAATGAGTATAAGCTACTGAACACTGAGTAAAAGCACTTATGTGAGTGATTTGGGATTTGTGTGCGGTTGGGGTGAGGGTGGAGGGGTGAGTGACAGAAACCAAAATCATGACCATCCTGCTGAATCTGTGATTTATGATGCAGTCAGGTGTTGTATTTCAGTCTTTTTTAAAAAAAATACCCGATTCCTGTGATGGCAGTAGTACTCATTTAACCTGTCTATTTTTAACTGGGGCTGATTTAGCCTTCCAGGGGGCAATTGGCAATGTCTGTCACAGCAGAGTCATGTTACTATCATCTAGTGAATAGATATCGAAGATACTGCTAACCATCTTAAAATGTGCCTCCTACAAAAAAAGATTTGGAAAGTCAGTGATTGAGGATCCCCACGTTTCACTAATTATGTTTAATAATTGTTTCATAAGTGAAAATCACTTCTTGTTAGTATAGTTTAGAGAAACTTAAAGATTTTTTCCTTCAATATAGCAACCCACTTAAAACTAGTTTGCCTAAACTGTCTCGGTTGAAAAAAATTTATTTCTAACCCCAAATAATAAGCTAATACTGTTTTATTAAATCATGTAGAACTTGAGAACTGAAATATAGTTGGGTTTTCTGTAAATTTTTTTGTTACATCAGGATTAGGTTTTAAAATTACTAAACCATGAAGAAATAATACAGTCTTTTTAGAAGTTATTGACATGTCATTTAACTTTGCCATGAAATTAGTCCACTTAGTTTGATAGATACGCTGAGAAGTGCAACAGACTAAGGAGCAAAACTGAAAAAAGGTAGTAACAACACAACATTCTTACATGGCCAGTAGTATATGCTAGTAATTTTTTAACTTTCTAACTCACTTAAGTTTTACAAGCTTTGGGAGCTAAAACTATATTATTCTCCTCTTTCAAATGAGGTAAAAAAACACAACAAAACAGAACGAGAGTTTGTGAGACGTACAAGAATAAATCTTGGGTAGCTCTGGTGGCCTAGTGGTAAGGAGCTGCAACTACAATCCCAGAGGCGCACGGTTCGAATCCACCAGATCCTCTGCCGGGGAAGGAGGGACAATCTCCTCCTGTACCAGTCAGATCTGATTTGACGGTACACTCACACAAAAATAATAAAATAAAAATTAAAAAAAAAAGAATAAATCTTTTGGCCTAGTGGTAAGGTGCTGCACTACCAAGCCGAAGGTGTAGGGTTCATATCCACCAGCTGCTTCTGGGAGAAGGGTGGAAAGTCTCCTCCCATGCAATTCATTGCTTCTGAAGGGTCAGCTGTGAGTTGGTTCCATCTCCACAATACCTAACAACAGTAACGGATTAGGATTCATACCTAGGCTGTATAGCTGATCAGTCGTCTTAAGTAGTACATTGTCCTGTTAGATACAGATTCATATGTAATGTGCGGTAGAATTGCCAGACCTATTCATTTCCTTTTCCCTTGTTTTATACTCAGATACATATTAGTTGGAAACAAATAATTTTATTATAGTGAAAAACTGTAAAACCATGTGGCAAATAATGAAAATATTTCATAAATTCTAAGGGAATTTTTTTCACATTCTAAAATCCCAAAATAACTGGTTTATTTATTTAAAACTAGTATTTCCCTACGTTGGCAAAGATTTTAGATTCAAATAAGTTATAGGGAATGTCAACATAGGAAGTTTAAAATCTAACATACCATCAATTCTATAGCATTCACCATTGAGTACATAGTAGTCTCAAAGGAGTTATTGATAAATTTTCCTGGAAAGAAAGAGTGAAAAATGTGCAGAATAGGTGATACATACCTTCAAGAAACACAAAATGTTGCCTGTTTAAATTATGGTATGTCATATTAAAATAAAAAACACCTTAAGTTTAGAGATGCTAATCAAAAGAGGTCAGGGGTTCAAATCCACCACTTCTCTGAGGGAGGAAGATGGGCAGTCTCCTCCACAAAAGATCTATAGCCAAAGGGAAAAAAAATCTGTAGTCTCAGAAACCCCTTTGACTGATCACCATCAGACAGAATCAACTATGGCCATAGGTTTGATCTGATTTTGGTTACCCTGTTTTAGTGATGCAAAAGTTTATTATGATTAAACTGACTTATGGCTAATATCTATAAGTGACACACTTGACATTTTAATTTAAGGAAATGTATTCCCTTTAATTTATTAGGAAGAAAATGTTCGGAAAAGAATCCTGTGCCCTTTAGATCCAAAACAGTAAGTATGTTTTAGATAAGACTTTTTCTTTGCCAGAAATATTGTCACAAATCTCATTTTAACCATTTTTTTCAAATTTAGTACAGTATATGAAGATCAGCTGGCAAAGCATTTGAAGAAATGTAACTCAAGAGAGAAGCCAAAACCTGTAAGAGTTTAATCAGTAAAATTTAGTAGTGAAGTGTGGGGTATATAATATGTGTGTGTACATTCGTAAAAACCAGTATGGTGGACATGAAAGTCTAAATTTTTCTAACTTCACAAGGAGGATTCCCATCAAATCAGTGCAGAGACAATTTGAGTGAGTTTACACCATAGCCCCCAGGAGCCATACCCTCCTACAGTTCTAATGTCAGTTATCCCTCCCATGGTTCTTGCTTTTCTACTGTGTTGGCTGATTTGTTGCAAACACAGAACTCACAGACTATATTAAAGATTAAGGGCTTTAAGGAGAGCTCTGCTGGCCTACTGGCAAGAAGCTGCACTGCAATCCCAGAGATATGTGGTTCAAATCCACCAGATGCTCTGCCAGAGAAGGAGGGGCCATCTCCTCCTGTACCAGTCAGATCCAATTTGACGGTACACACACACACACACACACACACACACACAAAATAATTAAAAATTTTTTTTTTAAAAAAAGATTAAGATTACAGTTTAGTTTGAAAACACTTGAGTACAGTTCAAAGTAGAGTTCTTCAAAAGGATAGCTTCTTCTCAGGCAGACCTCCCTTTAATCCTCTGCATTGTGACTTTAGGATCTGCCCCTTGTTCAAGCAAATATTACTAAGCTTTTTAGTTATGCCATTTATGTGCCACCCCTTTTCTGTCAGTAGTTTTGTCTCTAGGCACTTTAGCTCCTGGCAGACCTAGTGCAACTCTATCTCAAACCAGTCTCTCGTTTTCACTACTTCTGCTGCTGTCACTTCTCTATCTCAGTCCATCTCTTCATCTCTTATTCACACAGGAATCTCTGATTCAAATGACACAGCACTCTTGCTTACTTGACTAATCAGAGGGAGAGTCCTGTTTTTACTTTGGAATCTATTCAGTATAAGCCTTGCAGCATGGCACAACTGACCAATCCCCATGTCAACATTTTAAACATCTTATTTGCGTGTTTCCATCCAAGAGGTGCTATTTACATTATTGGGCAGCTATTTAATTCCTGTGGTGAATCATAAAAACCTAACATTTGCTTAATTCTACCCGGCCGTGTAATGGGAATTATACCTACAGTAGATAGAAAAGCAACATTGAATAATGCACTGCATCACGTTAAACCCAAAACCAAATCCACTCCTTTCAAGTTGACTCATAATGACCCTCGATCAGTTTCTGAGGCTGTAAATTTTTACAAGGAGAAACTGCCTCCCTTTCTCCCACAAAGCAGCAAACTTCCATGGGGTTTCTGAGGTTCTCATTTATTTATTTATTTTTAAATTTTTATTAT